ATAAGCTTGTTATAAAAATGATTCAAGAAAAAATGAAGAGAACACTTGAGATTGATCTTGATATTCTTGAGGATGTTATTCCTATCCTAATTCTATCATATTCTTGAGCCCGATTAATATCATCAAAATTCATTAATTCATCCCAATCATCTCGAGTTTCATGTAAGTTTTGATTGTAATTATTCGAATCAATACCATCTTCATGTGTGTTTGAATCTCGATTCATCTCACCTATCCCAAAATCCATACTTTCACTCTTATTCATCTCATCTTTATCTTGATTTACCTTACCTACATCTAAATCCATATCAATTTCATTATGAGATTGACTCTTTAGGTCTCGTAATACATGATACATTAACAATAAAATATCTTCATCGGGATCATCACCCTCTGATATCTTTTTTTTATTAGTCCTTTTAGATACACAATTTAATACTCGTGCGTTATTAGAATATTGACAATCCATTTTTTATTGAATTTTAAAAATAAACATGTGGTATTTATATATTACCGAAAATTATAGTTTTTCTACTAACCCTCTCAACATCATTTTTATCCTCATTCATTAATTTATCAAACATTTTTTTCAATTCAACTGCATTATTTGCGCCATTCGATAACAATTCCCTATGTGAATATTCAAGCTTAAATCTATTCACAAAAATTGAGATACCAGTATCACCACCCATAAGATTATATTCATCTCCAAAATCATATCTCTTTAAATCACTTTCCAAATATTTCTTTTTTCTAATCTCCAAAGCTGGTAACACATACGTCCGGTATACCACAAATGCAAATACACCTTGATCTAATACTATATTTTCATCGGGTTTAGATGTTAAAATACAAACGCTATTATTTTCAAATCCAACACACATTCTTAATGAATGGTCCTGGAATGTACATGAAGAGCACGGAAATTGAATCGTTTCGAGATTTTCACCCATAATTCGAATTCCCTCATGCACATCACCCATTGGATCATTGACATCCTTAAATATTTCTTCTGGTGATAAATATCTTTTTCTCGCAAGATTTTCATTACATACTTGAACAAAAATGATTCGCCAATACATCTCTGACAATAGTGGTTGAAGTGAAATTTCCGATCCATTGGTATTTTTTATCCCATGTCCAGAGTCTCCATGGAAAGAAGTTAATCGCCACTCAACTGTAGCATCGATTAATTTCTTATTTGATGCAATTCCAGTAAATCCATCATCCTGATACACTGGTATATATGCATATCTTCCATTCAATAAACAAAAGCCATCTTCGGAAACACCTCGTTTCTCCTCATAAACAGATGCACCAACTCCCCTATACTGGCCACAATCATTGTATATCTTTTTACTCGAACCACATTCCCTTAACTTACAACCACCAATATAATGTTTTTCACGATGTTCTGGAGGCATTAAAACCTGGAAGTTGGACGAAATGCACCAAATTCACCCAAAGTATCTTCTTCTTTTGCAGTCTTTTTTAGAATCCTTTTCACAGTTCTTTTTTTAGAAATCTTTTTTTTTTGAATCTTTTTTATCTTTCTTTTTTAAGATACTATCCTTCTTTGAATTGGCCAGTTTTAATTAAGCAAAGGATATATAATTTTTTAACTTCTCAAAGAAAAGAGATATTATCTCCCTAATAATTGGATGTAAACTATCTCTCACAAAATATTTGATCAGTGAGATATCAATCTTTAATATGTAAAACAAAACAAATGTGGCTATGATATTAATAATAAGAAAAAAATACAAGACTGATAAATTCATCAACATGTGAATTCGTCTAGATTCCATTACAGCTTAAGACTGAATAACACTCCTATTTATATTTATTTTCAAAATCCCAAATTTTACATTTAGATTTCACAATTATTTTTTGGATTCATCGGACTATTCTTCCACTCAATGGTGAGAAGTCTAAAGATGTCTGGATTGGTCAATCCAGGATTCAATTCCTTAATAACATTGAATCTCTCACTCACATAACTATTATAAGGGTTTTTCTCTCGTATCTCAACATCACCAGATCTATCACTCCCATCCGATTCATCTTCATCCAACTCAGAATCATCTTTATTTAATTCATCTTTGTTTGATTCACTCAATTCATCACTCAATTCGCCACTCGATTCATCTTTATCTTCGCTCTCAGATAAAGCTTCATTTATTATACAATTATATTCTTTTACTGTTTGCATAAATTTCATTCGTTTACTCAAACTAGGAACAGCATCCTCAAGAATATCAAGATCAATCTCAAGTATTCTCTTCATTTTCCTTGAATCATTTTATAACAAGCTCATCTATTTATATTTATTTAAACACATCACCCCCCTTAGAGTCCCCCTCAAGGGGGACATCTCGCATCAATTATACGAGAGTCGCTGCAATCTCTAAAGTTCTTTCCACACCCCGGCCCACCCTAACTCTAAATAAAATCACGTCACTATGTGACGTGATGTCATGAAAACTTGCTTCACAAGTTTTCTGTTAATAAATTATCAAGTTATTATTCAAACCTCAAACCTGCACCCCCACCTCACTCGAAGAATATATTCTGTGAAACATAAAAACCTATTTAAACTCTTAGAATCCAATTCTCATTATTCTCATTATTCAAAATGCTACTCTCAAAACTTCTACGCGAATTAATTATTATCATTTTCATATCATGTTACTCGTATGAAGATGAAATACATCTAGCTCTTGCAAATAAATATCTTCTTAATATCTTTTTAACATGTATTAAAATACCGGGGATCGTATTCCTCGAGGTCAATCCAATTACAAATACGACAGAAATTTTTAAAATCACCAATTATAATAGCAAGATTGGTAAATCCAAAAGAAAAACCAATCGAGTTACCTTTCATCAAAAACATAATCGAAATGGATGTTCCAAGTGTAAGTTAAATAAATGCGAAGATCACAAACGTATACAAAGAACAATTAAATATAGCAAGAGAGGTCATCATCCATATTGCAGAAGCCCATCTTGTAGAAGCCCATCAAGCTCACATCGTACCTATCTGAAAACCATAACTCAATTCGATCAGATGTTCAAATCTACTTGCGCGAAGTATGGAAAATTACAATTATGTAAACCATGTTGCGTTTTAAATAATTGTTGTGGAATACCAACATGTCAAATGGGTATCATTAGTGATCATAATGTATTTACACTTCGAGGATATGATTACGTTCACAGTCACAGTCTCTGTGAACCTTGTTTTAACCATATACCTAAGAGTAAATTTATTAATGTTACGATTAATTCTTTCTTTGTATAAATATAATCGATTAATTCTTTGTATAAATATGATTTATTCAATAAAAGTTATTTTAAATTTATTACACTCGATCATTCAAATCTTATATGTTTCTCTTGATTTTTACCATCTTGCTCCAAAATCATTCTCTTAGTCGGTACTGGAATAAAATAATTACGAATGTCGTGAATCGTCATCCTATCATCAATCATTGTGACATGACCTCTCAAAAATTTTTCTGCATTCTTTTGACTAATCTCATCTTTCTTTTTATAATCAACATCATTCGTTTGAAATCGAGTATAGTGATTAATAAAACGTGCCAATGTTCCAATAAGGGTATTGATATAATATTTTATATCAATCTTCATCTTCTTATCATCAAAATACTTCACGAGGACCATCTTCTGGTGGACTTTCGCATTCTTATCGTGATGTCGAATAATATAATAATTAAATCGTTCACTCGCCTCAATTCCAATATTCCTCTTTCGCATACGATTTACAAATTCATTCACTGATATGTTCTTATTAAGAGGCCGATATGTCGCAGATAATGTAAACACTGTTATATCATTATACTTATTCTTCATATAAGATTCAATCGTCGATAAGACAGTATCAAGTGCATCCATATCATTATCCATATCCACAATTCTTT